TCCCAGCTCCCTGGGGTCCCTTGGAGTCATGCCAGCCAGAGCAGTGCCTACCCACCTTCAGCCTTTGGGCTTCCTTCCTTCACTGCAGCTATCTGGGATCTGGTCTCCAAGGGCTTGGTTTATCCTCAGGCCAGGAAAGTCACCCGCACACCTGTCAGTCCTGCTCTGGGGCGCACAGCAGCGGTTCTAAGGCACTGCTGGACCGGGGCAGGCTGAGAATCCCGCCCCGAACAAAAATGCCCCCGAGCTTTGGTCAGGAGCTAGCCTCTACGTGTCCCCAGGTTTGCCCCACTCCCGGAGTTCTTGAGCCAAGCTTTTTACATGAAATTAGTTCAGTGTTTGAGGAGAGGCAGGGTAACCCAAGGGTGTGCCCACTTCAGGTCTTTGAGCACAGAGCACTTTGGTAAGGGTCTGGGTATTTAGCCAGGCGGTGCCTGCTGTGGAAACAGAGGCTGCACCTGGCCAGATTGGAAGGACAGTGTCAGAGAAAAGTGTGTGTGTGTTTGGGCAGGGCTCCCACGCTTCCCTGGTCTGCTTGATGGGTCCTGAGTGTGATGATTGGTTCCAGGTGGTGGAAATGGAGCAGGACCGGGAAGCATATAGGCAGGTGCCAGGTGGGCGGGGCTGGGTCCTGAGCTTTGTCTTCAGGCGTTTGCTGAACCTGGGGTGGGGGTGTGCCAAGTCCAAGGCTCCAGGGTTGGTGCGCAGAACAGCTGCCTCCAACCAACTGCCCAGTCGCGCAGAGAAGTGACTGAAGTGGAGGTCGTAGCTTGGCGCTGCTGCTCCATCCAGCCCCTCCGAGCGGCTGCTGCCAATGGCCCTGCGGCTCCTGCTCCATCTCACCTTCCTCAGGCTCGGAACCCCACTGTGGCTCCAGCGTGTCAGCGGTTGGCAGGTAGAAAGCGTACGGTCTTGAGCTTTGGGATTTGCGCCCCAGGGCACTGGGTGACCTCGATCTCCATCCCTCAGACTGGCCATCCTTCTTCAACCTCAACTCAACCCCAGGAGGTTCAGATTCCGAACGGAAGCGCGCCCCTGCTCGTGGAGGTGCAGGTGTTTGTGTCAAACGTGTTTAACGTGGTAAGTGTCCTCAGGCTGTGGAGGACTCGGGGGCCCAAGCGCTGAGCTAGGAATGGGACAGGACTCAGCCTAGTGAGTGCTGGGGTCTCCTTCCTTCTTGTCACGTAGTACCCACCCCCGAGGTGACCTGCTGCCCCCCTCCCCCAGGACATCCTGCAGTACACAGTGTCCTCCACGACGCTGCTTCGGCTGGTGAGCACCCACCACCAGTGTGGGGGCAGGGGGTGAGGGAGGGAGACCTCTGTAAGCCCAGCACAGAAGTACTGGCCTTCATCAACCTGCCAAGCCCAGGGGCGCATGTATACGGAGAGCGGGAGCCTTAGTAGCATCCTTGTGTCCCTAGTCCTGGCTGGACACTCGCCTGGCCACCGGCAGGGCAGAGTCACGCTGCCCTGGGACACTCTCTGGACACCAGGACTCACTATCCGGGAGGTGTAAGTGAGGCGGGGGTTCTTGTCTCAGGAACTAGGCAGGCATAGCCCTCGCTATTCCCCATCTAGGGCCGGGAGGTCCTCTTAGTGAATATCCCCCTCCTGGTGGCCCTGCCACACCACGGGCACAACTCCCATGCCTTATGGTGCCCCTTCTGGAACCCCGAGGGCAGTGGATGGCAGCTGGGCATATGCTGGGGTCTCCCCCTCCTCCCCCTTCTGAGGAGGAGCTGGGCCACTGGCTGTGGTACCTTTCCCTCTGCAGGCTCTGGGTGAACTGGCAGGGCCAGAGCCCACAGGCCCGAGTGGACCGGGATGGCCACATCGAGCTCCACCTGGCCCTCACCACGGAGACCAACTGTGACTTTGAGCTTTTCCACTTCCCCAGGGACCAGCGCGACTGCAGCCTCAGCTTCTTCGCTTTTGGCAACACTGGTGCTGACAGGACAGGAGCTGGGAGATGAAGGGAGAGGGGAGTCTCTGGCCTCCAGCGAACACCTGACACAGGGGTCCCGGGCCTGTGTTCACACCAGTCCACCCCCAGGCTTAGGGGAGCTGATCGTTCTGCTTTCACCGGGCATCTCCCACTCAAACAGCAGCCCCACCTCCTAGTCCTCCCCTGCTCTAGGCCGTAGCCCCCCTCCAGTCTTCTCTTCTCCCCCATCAGCTACCCTAGAGCAATGCCCCCAGCAGCCAGGGCCGAACTGCACACTTGTGTCAAGCCCAGAGGCTCAGGCTGCTGCTGGCTCATTCCTGGAAACATCCCGGAGGTGTAGCCACCCAGTGAATATCCCACAAGCCCAATAGGTGACGTCCAACTCGGCGGCGAAGTTCCATCCTTCCCTACATCCCTCCCCTCTGGGAAATACCACAGCTGCCGCCCAGTGAATCCTAATTATTTCAGGTGTGAGATGATATACTGGTGAATGAGTCTGTGACCATGTCCCCCTCCATGAAGTGGTGCATTTATTTTTACAATGAAAATTCACCTGTGAATCTGATAAGGCCCTTCTAACTGGAGTAAACTTGGGGTCTTGCGAAATCCGGTTTGGAAAGCCCTTGTACAGACCAGTTTCCAAGTCTGCCCCCAGCAACCAACACAGGGCTCCAGCATCCCTGGGCTCCAGCTTGTCCCTGCCCCGACTCCCAAGAGAGATGCGGGGGCAGGGGTACTTCTAGTTCACTGTTCTCACCCCCACTCCTTCAGTGATGGAGCTGGAGTTCCAGGCCCATGTGGTGAATGAGATGGTGAGTGTCAAGAAGGAATACGTAGTTCAGGATTTGAAAACCCAAGTCCCATCCCAGCAGCTGGTGCCCTGCTTCCAGGTGACGGTGACTTGGGAGGTGGCTGCCGAGGGCTGATGGGGGCATCGAGGATGCACAGCCAGAGGCCGTGACATCACCCTTCTACCGCCCACCCCTGCGCAACCCCCACTGGAAAGTCCCGACCTTCTTCCTTCCAGTTGCGCCTGCAGAACACAGCGCTAGAGGCCATCATAGCGCTCTTGGTACCCGGGGAGGCACTGCTGTTGGCTGACCTGTGCGGGGCGCTGCTGCCCCTCCGGACGGCGCGCATTGCCTACAAGGTGACCCTGCTGCTGGGCTACCTCGTCTTCCACTCCTCCCTGGTTCAGGCCCTGCCCAGCTTCTCCTCCTGCAACCCACTGCTCAGTAAGGCCCACACCCTCGCCTGGCCGGGGGCAGGACCACCTTGTGCTGGGCCCACCTCATTCTGCCCGCACCTGCTGTCGCCCCACCCCTGCCCACCTCCCCAGTTCACTACGTCACTGCCCTGCTGCTGCTGGTCTTCATCAGCACCACGGAGACCGGGCTATTGTCCGGGCTGCTGGCCCACAGCAACCTCAGGGCTGAGAGCAGCCCCAGCCCGGTCCTGAGCAGGGAGCGGCACGACTGTGGGAACCCAGGGCCAATCCTGGGCAGGGCCTGGGGCCCGTTCCTTGGGGGCTGCTGAGGAAAGAGGCCTAGGGGCAGAGCTGGTGGGCTGGGGTTGCGGGTTACCAGGCTGTTTAGAGGTTCCTGCATCCACTCTGCTGGCTCCACTGTCCCTGGGTTCCATCACGGCTGCCCTTGGAAGCAGCAGGTCTGGAGCCGGGAGCAGGGTTAGCCTCCCTAAAGGCCCGGGTGACTTCAGACTCCCTGAGATAACCCTCAGCCTTGCAGAGCCTCTCTTGTGGGACGTTTTTTCAACTCAAGATGACCTAGAATGGGCCAGACCCAAACATTCATTAGCTGTGACTCTAACGAAGGGAGAAATACAGACTGGCACCTCCTGGGATTCACCCTTCTGCTCCTGGAGAGCATGCATGTCAGCTGAGCCCTGAAGTACACCTCCTTTTCCTGCCTCTCCCCACAGAAGCCTCCAGAGGAGTAAGGGGTCCAGGAGGAGCTGGGCTGAAGCTGCCGACCACATCTTCCTGGTGTACGTGGCAGGGGCGCTGTGTAGCCAGTTCATCTGCGCTGTGCTCTGGATGTGGGCGACATGCAAGTCGGACCCAGCCCCTGGTGAGGCTGCACCCCACGGCGGGTGGCCCAGGCTGTAAGGGGCAGGGCCTGGGGCTACAGACCTGAGGAGTTGGGCTGTGACAGGGTCTCAGGAAAGAGGAGGGAGGGAGGTCGACTCTCTTCCCTAAGCCTGGAGGACCCCAGGCCACCCTGAGCTCTCCCTTCTGTTAGCATGCAAGCAAAGAGTGTGGAATAAACCCATCATCCCAGTGCAAGGGCGCCTCAGGGGTCTGTCTTCACTGAGCTCAGCTGTTCACTCTTGTCAAAGTAGGTGGGGCCCATCTCATGCCCCCGACCCCCACTCTGCCCCAGATCGTCTCACGACCGTTCACTGGTCACCCAGTCCCCACACGCAGCCTAACTGCTCCTCTGCAACCACTGCTGCTTGGCTCCAGGCACGGGGTTGTCAGAACTCCTTCTGTGAAGTCCTGCGGAGCGCTGGCCCCCAGAGGGCAGGGGACAGAGCACTCCCGCTCCAGCCACCGGGGGGATGCCTCGGGGGCAGAACCCCCCAGACCGCAGGACTGCGGGGATGGGGAATGCGGTCTCTGCACTGAGTCCAAGAGCGGGTCAACCCTGCTTGCCTTTCTCCAGGCCCTGGGGCTGCAGTGTGGCCTGCTCCTCCGAGCCCAACCCTCACGCCTGGGCTGAAGGGGGTTCTCCATCCCCAAGTTGGAGCTGGTCCGGGGCTGGGCCTGCTCTGCTCTCCTGCTCCTGTCCACACAAGGCGGCTGAGGGCACAGACCTCTGTCTTCCTTCTCTGTCCTTCCTGCCTTGAAGCCATCACGTGGCCCCTGCGGGCCGCAGTCAGGGTCATGAAGCCCAAGGCGCGGAGGAACCCCCGAGTTCCGGGAGAGCGCTGCTTGTGTGGGGAATGGGGGCCGTGAGAGGAAGGGCAAACCAGGACCCGAGGGCTCAGGGACGGGCTCCTGGTCGGGGTGGTGGAGAAAGACCCCAGGGCCCAGAGGCAAGTTAACACCGGTTTATCTGTCCGATAACATGGCTGGTCGGCAGAGCCAGGCAGGGGCAGTGGCGGCTCAGGCGGAGGTGTCAAACAGGCGATCGATCATGTCGCCCACCTGCTCCACGCGGTACTTGATGTACTTCTCAGGATTCTTGGTGAAGGGCACGCTGCCATACCTGACCAGGCGCTGAGGTCAGTGGGGATGCCTAGCCCCTCCCCAGCTCTGCCTCAGCCTAAGGCCCTCCCGATGGGGTGCCCCTGGGTGATGGCTGGGTCTGGCCCCACACCAAAGCCGTGGGCACTGTATCTGCCACCCAAACCCACCACCCTCTCCAGGTTTCCTTGAAGAAGAGAAGGACCCAGTGGTCCAGCCGGGGCAACGGGGAGCGTGGGGCTGGGAGGGCAGAGACGGAGGGCTAACCTGTGCAGAAAGGCCCCGTAGGTCTCCTTAACAATGTTTTTCTGGGCTTGGCGGATCTTGTCCCTCTGCTCCGTGTCGGGAATAGCCCAGGCCTTCTGTATCTTGCACAATTCTTCCAGGCCATCGTTGAAGCCCTGGTCACCAAAACGGTGGAAACAGAAGTGACCCGGAGACAAAGGTTTGAGTCTCTGTTGCTACAGTAACAGCAGCGATCAGTGGAGCGGGGAGGAGCCTGACTTACCTTAAAACGTTCCTTGATCACCTGCCGCTCCTTGTCCCGAAGCTGGGGGGCCAGGGGAGACGGCAGAGAAAGTGTCCCTCAGAGCAGGATCGTCCTGCCCCTGCTCCTTCCCCAAACCCCAAGCCCAGCCCTCTCCCCTGCTGCCCGGATGGCCACGGGCGTCCTTTGCTTTCTCATCCCAGTTGTCTGTTTTTTCCCAGAGACACAACAGACACACCACATCTGCTAGACATCCCTTCCCAGCCCAGGCCTTCAGCCCACCTTGACTCCGGGTTGGAACACAGGCAGGTTCTTCTCAGCGATGTAGTCAGTCACCTTTAACCAACTGCCAGGCAGGGAGGGAAGCAGAGGGCAGAGGAGGGACAGCCTCAGGCAGCTGCTCCCTCCCTGGGGCTGGACTGCTCTGTTTTTTAAAAATCTCTTGATCTACTGGGGGAGAGGGTGAGGGCAGGGATCAGTGTGGGTCATAACTAAGCAAAACACAGCTGAGATCTTTTTCCTCGGGAATAAAAATGTTCAAGCTGCTCGCTTTTAAAATTAAGGACAAAAACAGAACATTCAATAAATTGAACAAACACTACCAACTACACTTCACGTTGATATCATGGCCAATTAAGATGGAGAAGCAGATGAGAAAAGAGGGAACGGAGGACAGATAAATGGGAAAGCAGAGGGAGATACGGTCACGGGGAAGAAACACACAAAGGGAGAGAGAGACGCACAAACTAAGAAACAGGAGGAGAGGGGCAGAGACAGCCCTGTAGAGCGAGGCTAGCCAAGTTCAAGGGACCTTGTGAGCTTGCTCTTCACCTGGTCTAAACGTTACCCACGTCTCTGACGGGCAGCCCTTCCACCATCTTAGTCGTCACCCTTGGCAACTACCCTTCTCCACCCCACGAGTGTGATTAAAAAACAAGTAGAGGATTGGGGTTCACAGGGTGGCAGTTCCCCATCATTGAGCCCACTCTGACTGGGCCTGGCATCCCGAGGCTCTGAGAAGCAAGCGTTACTGGTGGATACACAGGCCGGGGAGCGGGAGGGTGGGCAGAGGCCCACCTGCGCTGGTAAGTCTGGATCTGCTGCTCGATGTGCTCACGGTAGGAGCGCTCGGCAGTCTTCTGGGTCACGGCCACCAGCTGGATCAGCTCAGACCTGGGGTGGGAACAGGCGAGAGAGGAGAGGACGATAGAAAGGCTGCCGGCCTCTGCAGCAACACCAGTGGGGCCTGCCTCCCACCTCCCTGGGTCCTGGGACTGTGACGGGTAAAGCGGCGTCCTCCCCGTCCTGGACACGAGGGGGCACAGCCATCCCCGCAGGCCAGGCAGGGGCAGGTGAGAGCTGCAGACCAGCACCCGTAGCCACTTACTTCTCCAGGGCCTTGAGGATGTAGTTGTAGTTGTTGTGCAGGAAGATGGCGCTCAGAGCCGGGTCCTCATACACCTTGGACTTGCTCAGCAAGTTCAGCTGCAGGTTGCCCAGGACTTTACCTGCACAGGGCAGGATGTGGTCACGCCTCCCGTGGCAGTCTGACCCAAATGACCCAATCCTGGGGCCCACAGACCAACTCCCACCCGTTGCTGCTTGTCCTCCCGGACTCGAGACCCCACCAGCCTTGGGAGCCTTTTGCCGAGCCCCCGCGGCCCCCCAACCAGAGGTCAGGCTGAGATTCTAGAAGTCGGGGCGCTGGCGCTCAGGAGCGGGACCTGGACTAGCAGGAGAGCACAGAGAGGAGACGGAAGGGAAGAGGCAGGGAGGTAGGGAGGCCGGGAGGCAGGGAGGCGGGGAGGCGGGGAGGTCGGGAGGCGGGGAGGCGGGGAGGCCGGGCCCCGGAGGCTGCCACTCACAGATGTAGGTGCTCAGGAGGCGCTTGCTGAACTCGGAGCTGTAGCTGGTGGCTGAGGAACTGGTCTCTGTGAGAGGAGGGGTCCTGTTACCACAGCAGTGGCAGCAGCCGAGACCCTCTCTGGCCTCCCCTAGGCCCGCAGAGCGGCTGAGGAAACCCTGGAAGGGGCCCGAGCCTCCCGGGGACGTGCTGAGCTACAGGGCTCCCTTCCCGCTGCGGGGGGCGCTCCCTGGGACTCTTCCTGGAACCCAGGGCCGGCGCCTCCATGGTCTCGGCTGGCGGGGGTAATGAGCTGGCCCAGGGCCGGCAGGAAGGCTGGCAGGACAGGAACGGGACAGCCTCTGCAACCCAGCCCCCGACCCATGCTGGGGGTACCGACAAGGCCCACTTCTCCCATCTGTCAGCAACAGAGTCTTAGAATAGGCCCCCCGTGGCCTCTCCCCCTTCACCCCCACTGCCCACAACCTCCTCTACCAGGCCCTTCCGAACAGAGACTTGCTGGCTGCACAGAGCAGAAGGCCAAGGGGGGAAGGGAGCGGATGGGGGAGGAAGGCGACAGGGAGGTGCTGGACCAGCTTGAAGGGTGTACTCAGGGTGCTGGACACAGCAAGATGCTGCCTGGAGAAACCCAGAGACAGAAAGTGGCCGTCAGGGAGCTGAGAGGGTTGGGAGCACCCGGAAGGAACCGTGTGCCCTCTGACCCCGCTCCTACTGGGAGTCTGTCCAGGTGCCTCTGTCCCCAGGGAACCTCACTCAGGGGGCTTCAGAGGGGAAGGATGGGGCTGCGGAGCCCTGCTGCTTACCTCGGGGGTCTAAAGGAATATTGTATGTGTCCCCAAGAACTACGCAGTGAGAGGCAGTGCGCACAGAGGGGCAGGGGGGAGAGACAAAGGAGGGAGGAAGATGCAAAGTGCAAAAACAGGTTAGAAACGGAACACCCGAGCCAAGCAGACCACTCCCCGCGACGCCAGAAACAGACAGCAGGACAGCCCAGGCTGGACCCCTGAAGGCCAGCGACACACTGGAAAGTGGACATCTGGAGACCCACAGGCCAGAGGCTGCACCTTGGCTCCTTGCCCCTAGACTGGGGGGAAAAGGGAAGGCCTGGGGCCCAACAAGCTGGGCTGGGTCTCAGTGCTCGGAAGTGCGCTCTTCCCCACGTGCTAACCTCCTGAGCCCCCGTCCCAGGACAGCAGTCACAGTCCCGGGAAGACACCAGGCTGGCCCTGAGATGCCAGCTGTAAGGGGTCAGCTGTACTGGACTAATTAGGAGGAAAGGCAACACAAGAGGAGGTGGGGAAATGCAGGAGGGGCGGGGCTAGGAGGAAAGGCAACACAGGAGGAGGTGGGGAAATGCAGGAGGGGCGGGGCGGGAAGGGCACCTCCAAACAAGTGAGTTCTGCTCTCCAGAGTGAGGACAGTGGAGGGAGCCGAGAGGGGCTGGAGGCCAGGAAAGGTAGTCATACCCCGGCTGCTTTCCTGATGCTGGACCCAGATGGCCCAAGCAGCTTGGGGGTCCCGCCACAGGCCACATCTCCTTCCCACTCCACAGGGCGGGGGAAATCTCCTCACCCAGAGGGGGCTAACCCCACGTCTCCAGGCCAGAGGGAGGAGTGGGGCACGGGGCCCCGCTGGGAGGTGCCAAGTACCTTGGGAGGCCAGCATGGCGCCTGCTGTCTCCTGGAAGTCCAGGAGCTGCTGCAGGAAGAGGATGGCCTGCGTGGGGAGAAAACAGGTCCAGGAAGAAGGTCAAGGGCAGGACCCAAAGGTCGGATCACCTCCTACAGTTCACCCCTCTGACCATTCCAGGACAGGTACAGGGCCAGGGGCCTGCCCAGTGAAAAGGGTGGCTGCAAACTTCGTGCTTCACCCTGTGGGTTTGGCCTCCTGGGAAAGGCCCTGTCTGCTGGGGGCACTAAGCACCTTGCAGTCCATCCTGCCACCTGTGCCCCCTCCCCGCCCCAGGAGCCCCCGGGCAGCACCTACGTTGCTCGTGAGCTCGTGCACGGTGCCGTCCTTGGGCATGTTGTACTCCTTGTCCGGGTCGTTCTGTGGGAAGAACAGCCCGACTCCCTGAAGCAGCTCCCGGGGAGTCCCGCGCCCACCCCACACCCCAGTCTGCGGGCTCATGGCGCCACCTCCTGGCAGACAGGTGTCAGGATGCCCCTCGGGCACAAAGGTGAGCGGGACAGACATACGGACATGACTACATGGGAAAAGCGGGGCAGGAGCTTGACACCTGGGGTGGGGGGCCTCTGGAGCCCCTGGGGAAGAAAGGGGGGCCCGTGGGCACTGACAGGAGACTAGCAGCACGGCCGGCTTCCCCACAGGGCAGGCCCGCCCCTCTTGGAGGCCTGCTTTCAGAAAGAGTTTCCAAGCCAGGTCACCGGCAGCCCTGCCCACAGCCCCACGGGCCGTCCTGCACGGCAGCGAAGGGAGGGAGAGCACCTTGATGTTGTCAGCGAAGTCCTCCAGAGCTTTGGCTCCAACGGTCTCCATGGAGGTGATGAGGCTGGGCAGCTTGTTCTTGGTGCTGGCCGCCGTCCCCTGAGGAAGCACATGGCTGCACAGGGTGCCAGAACCCGGCTACAGGCTGTGCCTGGGGCCCTGCTCCTTCCCGGCCCCTCACCCCAGGGGACTGTCTCCCCTCTTCACTCACCCTGAGAGCACCTCCACATGCCCGGGACCCTGAGGAAGCTGCTGCCATTCACCCTCGGAGCGGACCCGTGGGGGTAGAGAACACAGTTCTCCTGGGGGGCCGTGCCGGGCAGCAGGATTCCTCCTTCCGGGGTCCCCAAGGGCATCCTCACCCACATACCTGGAGCACCTGGTCAAACTCAGGCTTGGTCTGCTTGAGGTGCCGCAGGATGGGGAAGACGGTGAGCACAGCCGAGAAGTCGTGTCGGATGATGGCCTTCCGGGCAGCAGCCACGATGTTCTCCCCTTCAAGCATCAGCCCGTCCAGGGCATCCTGAGAGAGCGGGGCAGGGAGAGGGCTCAGGGGAGGGGGCAGACAGCCGGTTCCCAGGGACGGTGAGGGCACCTGGAGGGGCGTGGGGGAAGTATGCCCCCAATGGGGAGGTCCCGACCGGGACACGCCACCCAGGACAGATCCCCAGGATGGGAGGTGGAGGTGGTGGCTGGAGTTGAGGGCTGTGGACCGCATGCCCGGACCGAACTCAAGCTTCTGCAGTGACAGCTCATGCTGGGGCATCTGGTCAGGGCCCAGGGGCAGGACCTGTATCAAAGAGTCAAAGGTCTTTTTCTGATGGTGCTCAGGGATGACGTCCGTCAGCAGCTGGTACTCGCTCTGGGCCAGCTTGACAAAGGCACTGACGCAGTGAATGTAGGCGTCGGTCTCCACGTCCAGCATGTCATCTCTCCCTGGGGGGAAAGCAGTGCCCCTGAGCTACTGGTTTGGGGCAGACCCTCTCCCTGCTGGGGGGTGGGGCACGAGTCTCCCCAGTTCCTGGCCTGTAGCCAGACTAGCAGCAGATGGGGAAGACGACTGTGCTGGCAGAAAGCTGGGAGAACTCCAGCAGGCCCGGCAGGGTTTGCGAGGAAAAACGGGCTGAGTCCAGCCTTTGTTCCAGAATGTCAGGTACGAGAGGTGTTGGGGAGATGGATAAAAAGGATAAGATCCCCCAATCGACTTCCTGGATAAGACACGCCTGACCCCAAGACTGAGGATTCTGAATTGTACTGGGAAGAGGACACCCAGGGATGGGCAAGTGGCCGCGTCCACCTCAGGGAGGCAGGCTCAGTGGTCGTCCATGTCCGAAAATGCTGGGCCTCTGGAGCCAGATACCAGCCCCGCCAGGCCTTCTGGAATGTATAAAGAGGCAATGGGCTCTGGTCCATAAGGCTAGCTGGCGTGGCGTCAAAGCTGGAGATGAGGCAATGTGAGCCTCAGAGGGGGAGGGCTCCTTGGTTGTCAGCTGCCCAGCAGGAGACAGGATCCCGCTACTGCATTGCAGGCTGGGGCAGGGGTGCCCGCAGGCAACCTGGTCCTATGTGCCGAGGGACGGGCTCCGAGGAGTCAGAGCTTTGGAGCCATCGCTGGAGTCAGGTGTTGATGCTCCCTGCGCTCCAGGGGCCTGCCTGCCCTCTCTGCCCGCCTTCCGAGTGGCGGCAACTTCTGCCCTTGGCCCAGGCCCTGAGAGCCAGGCGTGCACTCCCACCTGGAGAGAGGCAAGGGGACCTAGTGCCCAAAAGAGAGACAGACCGGAGAGAGAGAGGCGAGTAGGCCGGGCTCATCCTTGGAGCGGAGCGGCCGGCTAGGCCAGGCCGGAGCAGGCCCTCTGGGGACGGCCGTGAATGCAGCGGCGGCTGCCCTCGGGCTGGGCTGCAGTACTCACCGGCCAGTGGCCCGTGCTTGTCGTTCAGGGCCTCGGACAGGTGCTTAACTCGGAAATCATGCTCGTGACCTAGCGAGACGTCGGCCGCAAACACAAGCAGCGTTTATCCAGGGGCGGGGTGGCTGCCTCTCAGGGGACTGGGAAGAAGCCCTCGACCTCCGGGGGGGTATGTGAGATGGGGTGTAGGGGAGGGGGCATTGGAGAGGGCTCTGAGCCCCTCCTCTGCCTCAGACCACCTTGGGAACAGCCATTTCAAGCGTGACTTGCAGTGCCCCAGACCATCCTCGGGAGCTGGTTTCCCCACGCCTGGAGGCTGAGAGAAAACCGGGTTTCTGAAGCGTTTCCAGCAGCTGCGGAAGCTCTGATGCTCAGCCCCAGGGGGTTTATCTCACCATATTTGGGGAGAGATCCAGTTAGAGAAATGTCACTGCCCAGTGAATGGGGACAGGCTTCTTTTCGCCCCCAGGGTCATTCTTTTGAAGGTGGATCTGGTCCACTAGGGCAGGGCTGTCCTTCCTCTGATGGGAGGGAGGCAGGGACATGGTGTACGGGCTGCCTGTCCCCTGTGGCACATGCTCGCCTTTCAGGTGGAGGGGGGCGGCCAGGAGGCCTCGGCCGCCTTGGTCCTGCCACTGCTGGTCTGAGCGTGAAAGGGCTGCCCGTGACAAAGAACTTTCTCTGAGTTCAAACAGGAGACAAGGACAGAGACAGGGAGGGGAGGGAGCGGGAAGCCTCCGGGAGGGCAGAGCCGCCGTCAGCCAGACAGGACCAGGCCGAGGGCCATGAAAGCTGTCCCCGAGCCAGCTGGGGTCAGAGGCCCAGGACCTCAGTTCCCACCCCTGGTCCCCTCTCAGGGTTGCGCCCGAGGCCCTCTGGGGGGGTTGGAGGCTCTGCCCTACCACGTGAGTGGGCACACGGTGGAGGAGGAGGGAAGAGGAGAGGAACACAGGATGATTACCTTCCAGAGGAATGAGGTTAGAGCCCCCCTTTTTCCCATCTAGACCATGCTGGGAATACTGTTTCAGAAGGTTCTGAGCCTTACGGATCGTCCCTGTCACCAGAGCCACACAGAGAGGAGATAAGAAGACCTAGGAAACGAGTGAGAGGAAACAGCAACAGCCCTCCACCTACCCCCCAGGCCCACGCCCACCCCCAGCAGAGAGCACGCCCGGGTACCATCTCTCCCAGCAGGCCTCTGCCGGGCCCGCCCCCAGCAGAGCACGCCCGGGTACCATCTCTCCCAGCAGGCCTCTCCCGGGCCCGCCAGAGGCCCCGCAGAAGGAGATGGAGGAACGGACACATTTCGTTCCCCCAGTGGAGCTCCTGATCCTGCCAGTGGCCCTCATTGTTCCAGATCTGAGTTCATTTTAGGAAGTGCAGAGGGTGAAGGAGATGAGATGGGCAAAGATCCACCAGGAGACGCCAAAAATAAAAAACAGTACTGAGTGGCACTTAACTCAGAAATAGACAAGGGCCTGGGATGGAGGAGCTAGCGATGGAGCCCTCACACCCAGAAGGCGAGACCAGGTGGCAGAGCCTGGGGGCACCTTGAAGCAGGCAGGCCCACGGCTCCTGCCCAAAGGGCAGGCAGAGTTCTCCGGGCGTGCTCAGTGCCGGGACGCGGCCAAACAGTAGCCAGACGAAAGCAGCACCCAGGAGTTGGTGAAACGGGACCGAGCTTCCTGGGCCAGCAGCGCCCAGGACGGAAGGCTTGGAGACCCAGAGGCAGACTGGCCCCATACACCAGGGGAGGGACCCAAACCACCAAAGCAATTGGGAAAAACTCAAAAGCCAGAAAGAAGTTAATAGGAGCCAGTCACACAGAGAGCAGGAGGGAGGGCAGCAGGAAAGGGCACATGCCCTTGGCACGGGGGGGAAAAAACCAACAGTTAGTATCACAAGTGAGCACAATGGAAACAAAACTGCAGCGCCCACAGCCTCCAGGGTCAGCCGCCTCTGTGGGAACGAGACATCTCAGGGCAGAAAACGCGGGGAAATAAAACAGCATCTAAAACAGATGTGTACAGCTGCCCTGTTAACAAAATGTACTGGGGCAGGGGAGGCGCCCATGAGCGTAGCTCCGCCCCTCTTCCCTGGGGACTCCCAGGTGCCCCCTCGCATCTCTGAGCGCAGCGAGGCTCCTTGGGGCCTGGCAGCTCCCCAGAAGGCTAGCGGAGGAGGGGCAGCGTCTGAGCGGCTCATCTCTTTCTGTTTGCACCAGCCGCAGTTAGTTACTAATAACCAAGTTTGGGGCTTGGGCTCAGCATCTGGCTGGCTGGGTTCTGCCCCTTCAGTGAGCAGCCCCGCTAATGAGCGAATCAGTGCCCTGCCCCACAACCGACCAGGAGCAGGTGGGCCCGCCGGGCCTCCAGGAGCCTCGCCAGTATGCTCACGTGGACGTGGGCTGGGGGCACTGATCCGGCAGCCGCCAAACCCACCAGGAGCACAGTTACCACGAACGACGTTGAGGTCGGTGTTTCATTACCCACCGAGGCCTCCCTGCTCCTCTCCTCAAGAGCTGGGAACTGATGTCCCAGGGGCCTGATTCCCTAGTTCCTGACGTCAGTCCTGAGCCCCCCAGCTCCTGACAACTCTTGAAACCCCACAGAAACCAGAGGGACGCTCAGAGCCCGAGTTTTCCTCTTGGGGCTCTAAGCCAAGCTAGATTAGGTAAACTGGGGGCCCCGAGATCAGATCCCTGCTCCCTGCATGGCCAGCAGCACTCCTGGATGCAGTCGGGGTCCTGGGGCCTCCACTGGGCCCATCAGAGAAGAGACAGAGGGGAAGAGAGCACAGACTCGCCAAGGCCCAGGCAGCCTCGCAGCCTCCCGGAACCAAGGCACAGAGACGGACAGGCCCAGGTGCAGGCAGCTGCGGCTGCCCAGGCTGGCTTAGTAGAGTCACCGTTTGTGGCAGGTTCCCCAGGGGGTCAGCCAGGATATCCACACTGGAGGCGGGGGAGGACAGTGCTCTTCCTGCTGGGGCCACCCAGATTCCCTTATGCTCTGCTCCCTTGCGCCCCTGCGGGCACCCTCGGCTCCGCCATATCTCCGAAGCCTGAACAAAGGCCTGAGGAAGAGCAGGTGCTCGCGGTGTCAACAGGCCCCTCGTTCTCTGAGGGGCAGGCAAGGAAAACGCTGTCGTGAGAGGCGGGTCCCACCGGTGCGTGTGCCCACAGCAGCAGCTGGACAGGGAAGGCTAGGGTGGGAGCAGCCCCCAGCCTCACTGGCGCTCTCTCCCTGGGGCCTGCGGCAGCCCCTCACCCTGGAATACCCCAGCCTCTCGAGGGCCACACCTCTCAGCAGCCAGACACAGCCAGGCTTGCCAAGCGGAAGCTGACACACAGGAACACTGTTTACCCGGAGCACAGACTACAGGGGACATGATGACGGGAAGAAGGACAGACAGTGAGCTGTTCGCCCAGGACACCGACGCCCAGGGCCCAGGCGTCTCCCACCTCAACACCCCTCCCTTGACTCTCCCACCGCAAGGCACTAACTTCGAGTGGAGCCCAAAAGCCGGATTAAGGTCTTTGGAGAAGAAGGCGTGGCATTATTTTCCTTTCTGGGTGACTGTGAAAGTGTAAACTCTCCCCTATCCACTTCTTCAAGCCACCCTGGCCTTCTGCAATGTGACGGCTGCAGTGCCTGCCCCTGTCCTGTCCACAGTTTTGGCGGCAGCAGCGGGCCTGGCCTCCTGATAGGACGACGCAGGGAGGAGAAGGGGGTCCAGCAAGAGGCTCTGCCCCGGCACCTCTCCGTGCCTGTGACCCTCCACTCCAAGGACACTTATGTAGCCCCCAGACTCGGCTGGGTAGAGAGGAGCTCACCGGGTGGGGCCTTGCTAGGTGGGCAGACACCTGCTTTCTGTCCTGCGTACCTATAGTTGGGGGTCGCTGTGAGGTCAAGCTGTAGCGGCTGCTACCCCCAGGGTGGGCAAAGGCAACCCGGGTCCCACAGAGTTTCTGTCTGGTTCTGAGGTGGGCCAGGGTGGGGTCTCACCTGGCCGCTTGACCGGCTTCTTGGTAGGTGTGTCCTTCCTCTTGTTGGGGACAGCAGGGGAGTAGGGGACCCCAGACGAAGAACTGCTCTTCCGGAAATGCTCCTTCAGGCCTTTGATGGAGCGGTCCAGCTGGCTGGAGCGGATCTGGTAGTAGACGTTCATGAAGTCTGAGGAGAGATGGGCGACAGCTGGGGTTCCTGCCTCTGCCTGGCCCCAGGGCCTCCCTCTCACTTCCAGACGCAGCTCCGCAGGGCAGCAGCAGTGCCCACCACTGTTCCGTGCTAACCCTTCCCAGCGGCCTCCCACACGGCCTCGTCCGTCCCAAATCAAAGGCTTAAAAGGGAAAGTATCCCCCAACAGAACCAACAATTAGCTGTCATTTTTTATTTTATTTATTTATTTTTGGCCGCGCCGTGTGGCTTGTGGGATCTTAGGTCTCCTGCCAGGGATTGAACCCGGGCCCCTGGCAGTGAAAGTGCCAAGTCCTAACTACTGAACCGCCAGGGAATTCCCTGTAAGGTTTTTATTTTCTTTTTTTTTGGCCATGCCACGTGGCATCTTCCCTGACCAGGGATTGAACCCATGTCCCCTGTGCGGGAAGTGCAGAGTTTTGACCACTGGACTGCCAAGGAAGTCCACAGTAAGGTTTTTTTAGATAAAAAAAAAGGTAAAGTTTACATCCAGCTTCAACTTGCTAAGGGGTCAAAGGATGTGAGCAATTTATATGCAGTAAAGAGACAACAAATGTCACTGAATAAAAAAACACACCATTTCTTTAGCCATGAATGAAATGCAAAGTTTAAAAAATTCGAGGATTGTGAAAGCCCTGTCAAAAAGCTAAGATAAATGAAGCTAATGAAGAACAAACAGCTGTGGGATTTTCGATGGGTCAGTCGACGGGCCCCACCTACCCGGAGAGGAACTCAAGACGGCAAGAAGGTTACAGATCTGTTCAGACAGTTCTGCCTGATAACCGTACCTTTGAGAAAATATCTCAGAGAACTTCCTAAACAAGAAAAGCAAGCCATACAACTGTGCTCACTGCAGCACTAACTGTCAATACCGGAAAACTGGAAAATCCAAAAATGCAAACGAGCAACGAAAAAGATACGAATGCCACGGTACACTTTAGCAGCTCCCAACGAGTGTGTCACCAATGTGAAAAATGGAACAGAACACTGAGGCTCTGACTGAAGGGGACTGAGGGGTCTGGAAGCATCCACTGGCCTCCCACTTATCCCAAGGGAGCCCCTGAAAAGCTCCTGCCGAGCCCTCGTCTCCCACAGTGCAGCTCATGAGCCACAGACGTGCCGTGTGGTCAGTACAGGCGGCCCTGAGACCTGGCACCACAGAGTCCTCGAGGGAAGGCAGGGACAACACACACTGACAACTTGGTATGTGTACAGACTAACAAAGAGACGAAGGGTGTGGGGGGCGGGGGGCTAAAAAGCTTTCAATTGAATATTCATTACAGGTGTTTTTTTTTTTTTTTTAATTTTTTGCTTAACTTGGGATTTAAAAAAAAATCCTGGGACTGGATTTAAAGAAATGATGGTACCAACATACCATGGAATATTATGCAGCTGCCAAAAAGAATGACGCAAATATACACGTACTGATACGGAACACTCTCAAGACGTATTACTAAGTTGAAAGCAAAATAAAAACAAAACAATCACAGGGGAGTGTTTAGTATGCTCCCTTCCACTTGGGAACGAGGAGCAGATACACACATATTTATTCTCTCTCTCTCCCTCTCACACACATGCAGTGGCATAAAGAATTTTTTGGAAGGGTATAAATAACCTTAACAGTACTCATCTTTGGGTTATGATACTGTAAGCATTAGGGAAGTGGGGAGATGGACTTTTGCTTTTCACCTAAGCCTTTCTGTGCTACTTGAAGTTTTTATAATTAATCAAAAAAAGGAAAGAAACAGGAAGGTAAGGTATATAAAAAAAGCTTGAATTTAGCTAGATTCATCATTTGATACATAAGCTGTAGACTTACTCCTCATATTGTTTCCTACTAAACTCCTTTGTTTTAAAAGAAATGCAGGTGGATTAAAGAAACAAAGGGCAAAGTCCACTCCCTCTGGCCCTGCCGCCTGGACCCCGCCTCCCCAGGACACCTCACCTTGGTTGCGGCCATATTCCACCAGCCAGCGGGAGATGCGGATCACGTCCTGCAGCACACTCTCAGGCAGATGCTCTAGGGGCACCTCCTCCTGTACCTCCAGGTCGTCCTCACCGCTGATCAGATCCAGGATGAGCACAGGGGACACGACCTTGCTATGCCGGGTCATCAGGCTGCGGAACTCGGACTCCAGCGACTCCTTCCCCCGCTCAAACAGCAGCTTCTACAGGGAAGAAGGAAGGAAGGGGGGAGGGGAAGAAGAAAGAGGGTCCACGGCTGTTCCACCATTCAGCAGGCCCTCGTCTCCCCATCCCCTTCCTCTGCCTTCCTGATTCTGGGCCTCGGCCCTCCTCTGCCTTCACTTCCTTTTTCCCAGAGAATAAACGGTGGGAAGCTTTGCTTATTTCTTTCCCTTGTGTTCTCTCAAAACGTATGTTCATAGGTGAAACCCAGAGTTTTACAAGAAGTAGGTGCTTCACAGATATCAGTTGATTATTTTCTCATTGTACCATTAATTTGTGTTCTTGTTAGAAAAGGGGTTGCAAAAGAAAAAAAATAGATAAATTGGACTACATCAAATTAAACACTTTTGTGCTGTAAACGATACCATCAGAAAAGTGAAAAGACGATTCACAGAATGAGAGGAAATACTTGCAAATCATGTATCTGATGAGCGAAAGGTATCCAGAGCAGATAAGAGAATTGAAAACGTATGTCCACACAAAAGTTCGTACACAAGGGTTCATAGCAACACTGTTCATAACAGCCCAAAAGTGGAGTGTCCGTCAAGTGACGGATGGATAAACAAAATGTGGCAAATCCTTACAATGCAATATTATTCAACCACACGATGGAAGGAAACACCTCCACACGCTACCACGTAGATGAACCTTGAAAACATTATGCTAAGTGAAGGAAGCCAGGCACAAAAGGTCACATATTGTGTGATTCCATTTTCAGGAGAAGTCCAGAAGAGGTAAATTTACAGAGACAGAAAAGAGATGAGTGATTACCAGAGGCTGGGCGAATGGGGGAGGGAAGGGAAGAAGAGTGACTGCCAATGGATTTCTTTTTATAGGCGATGAAAATGTTATAAAATTTATTCCGGTGTTGTTGCACAACTCTGTGATTATACTAAAACTATTGCGTTTTATACTTCAAATGGGTAAATTTTATGGTATGTGAATTATATCTCAGTAAAGATGTTTTAAAATTAGAGAGAGGAGTTGGAGCGTTTCTGCTTAAATGGAAAGTACGTCCTCTGGGGTAAACCTGTAGCATATTCTTTGTACTCTCCTTCTCCAATCCACTCCCACACCCAAGTTCTAGCACAGAGCTCTTCACTCTGTGATCCAAACTTGGTAGAGACCCTCAAGAATCAAGTTCTCCAGCCCCTGGCATCCCAATCTCTGAGTCCACGCTGCCCACCCAAGGGCTGCAGTATTATGGTTTTACTGGTGGGTGCCCACTGCGTTACTGGTGTGCCATGGTATTGATCTTGTCAGTCCTCCGGGTGGCCAGGTGGCGCTGTGCGCAGCAGAGACCACTGGCTAGTTACCACTTTACCCCAGCGTGCCACACAAACATTCTCATTTCCGATGGGGCCACGATGGGAGAAAAGCTGGGAGGCTCTGTTCTAAGCAACAGCTTTCTGGGTGGGAGAAAAGCCAGTTTCCCATCTTTGTGCCTCAGCCCACCCCCTCTTCTGGGTAAGACACACGCCTCAGGGCAAGAACTGTGGTACCACCAGGAAGGTGTGCCAGGGGACTGGGGGGTCCGAGCTGGCCTGCCCTCTGATGTTCCTCAGTGGCTGGGATGTCTGGGCCTCTGCTCCCACCTTTTCTCCTGTCTGCATTCTCTCCTTTCCTCAATGCATTGAGTAAACCTCACTTCCCAGCCCTTCTCCATCTCCCTCTGGTGATCTAACAAAGACCCCAAAACTTAAACACAAAGGTATGACACCAAAAAATTGAATATGAAAACATGAATGCAGGTCCCCTCGCTAGTCAAATTCATTGAGTCAGAAAGTAGAGTGATGATGGCCAGGGGTTGGTGGGGAGGAGAAAGGGGAGTTAGTGTTTAATGGGTACAGGGTTTCAGTCTGAGATGATGAAAAGGATTCTGGAGATGGTTATACGACAGTGTGAACGTACTTAATGTCACTGAACTGTTCCCTTAAAGATGGTTAAAACGGCAAATTTTATATTATGTATTTTTTGCTACAATAAAAAAATACCCATGCATTTATAAAAATCAAATGTTAAACTTATACTTCATATTTAACTTATAATTTAGTTAAATTATTAAGATGCAATAAAAATGTATACCTGTAATTTCTGAGACAGAGATCTTAATGCCTACAGTATGTGTATGGTATTATATACTTCTGTTTATTCTACTACATTCTCTTTTAAGCTGGTTCAGTGTCTCTCATGAGACCAGGGCCGTGACTGGTGTCCCCAAATCTCTCACATCACTCTGCTGGCCCCTTACCACTTTGTTGAGCTCTGGGCTGTCTGGGCTGTTGTCCTGGAAATACTCCACAGCCTTCTGAATCTTGGCCATGCTTCCCAGGTACTCTTCCAGCCTACCTGTGGGGCTGGAAAGGAGAAAAGTCCTATTAGCCTGGGCAGAAAGAAGGACCAAGAGAATGGTATTTGGCAAGGGGAGAAGAGAATTAACACACGGGACTCTAGACTCAAATATATTCTACTCCTCCCTTCCAAGGCCTACAGCCACTGGTCCGAGAGGCATTAGGAATGTGACCTTCTGGCCCTAGCTCACCCCTCCCTGATGATCTTCTCAGTGTCACTGGCCACATGGTAGTAGCTGATAACGTGGTCCAGACAGGACAGAGTCTTCTCAACATTCTCCTGCAGCCGCTGCAGGTTCTCCGTCTGCTTGTGCACAGGGATGATGGAGTTCTCCAGCTTCATAAGGCGACTCTCAAAGGATGACAGGATAGACACCTGCGGGGGGAAGCTCCGTGCTCTCAGGCCTCAGGGCTGTCCCAGCACCGCTTCTGCCACCCACCAGGTCTTTGGCAATTGCTGCCTCTTCTCTGGTTTTCTAGACAATAAGCTCCATGAGGGAAGGGACAGGGTACACCTGTTCACTGCTGTATCCCCAGAACCTACCATGTGCCTGGCACATAGGAGGTGGCCCAAATAAATTGGCTGAAGTTTGATTTGAAGGCAAGTCAAGCATTAAATTAACTCCTCCTCAGATAATCACCTCAGGATGGCTTCCCTTCCACCCTTTGAAGTCAAATCTCAATCTCTATTCTCTCTGATGCTTTCCTGGACTGAACGGGAAGTAGTTTCATACAGGGTAGCCTCAAATGCATTGCTGGTACCTTCAAAACCCTTTCTCTCCAAGAGTGAATCTCATTAAGTAAGGACTAGCACCTGATGACTGTGTTACTAAATACATGCTCAAGTTTGTATCTGCTCGGTTTGTGCTTTTGTAGTCTTCTCTAGGAACAAGGAAGGAAACTCTTATTTACTGAGAACCTATTGTATACCAGGTACTATGCAAAATGCATCTCTATGCATTAGCTTCTATGACCTTCACAGTTACACTGGAGGTTGGCATCGTCCGTTTTAGCAGGGGAGGTAACTGAGGCTCAGAGTTACCTGTCAGGGGCCACACACAAATAAGTGGAGGGGCGAGAACTAGACCCCAGATCTCTCTGACTTCACAGCTCATTTTACACCTCAAGCCCTCTGGGGTGAAGGCTGAGTCTTTTTCTGTCCTCAGTAATCCCAGAAGTGGAAACCCGGCCGTCCAACCCTCACTTGAATTGACGATGATGCATGGCCAGTACCCAGCCCACCTAAGTCAGTCTCACTAAATGTCTGCAGAAGGAGAGAAGGAAGAATGGAGAACTTAGGCAGAAAGCAGAAAGCCCAGGCCAGTGGGGGCTGCAGCATCCTCAGCGAAGGGGCGGACGAGGGGAAGGGAGTGTTAAGAGACGTGTCATACTGTTGCTAGAGAAACCCACAGCTTACCACCACCGCTACCCAGACCAGCACCCCCAGGTCTTAGGTACCGGAACTACCGGGTCGCAGGGTTCTCCTCCTGCGTCTGGAAGCCCTCCCAGCTGAGGGGTTACTCACCATGTTCTTGGTGAGCTGGTCGCTCTTCTCCAGGCTGTCTCGGATGAAGGACAGCGTCTCCTCCTCCTGGGGGGAGCGCAGGCAAGGACGTCACCAGAAGCCGAAGGCTAAAGGAGACCACCGCGTCCTGGATCCACGGCCTCGCCCCTGACTAGGTCTCCTCGCAGGGAGGGCCCCCTCCCACTCCCGCCGCCTCCCTGAGTAGAGGCCCGGCCCGGATCTCGACCCCTTCCCTCACCTCCTCCCCCGCCGCCCCAGCTCCAGCCCCACCTGCTTCAGCTTGTCCTCGATCTCCCGCCGCCGGGCGGACGCCTCCTGCGGGGGTATCATGACTTCGACCCCCCCAGCGGCTCTCACCGCCCAGTACCTCGCCTCCGAGTGCCCTCTCGGCTCCCGTCCCTGTCACACCCACTTCCGCCCGCGGCCCCGCCCCGGGGCGCGCTGATGCGCCATGTTAGGAGTGGCAAGCTGAGTGCGCCTGCGTGCAACTCAGTGCAGGGGGACCGGGCAGGTGGCCATCTTGGGTGTGGCAGAGAATTGTGTTCGGGTTTGTCCTTGATGCGGGTTTCCACCCTGAACAGAGAAAGTTCTCTTGAGCGGCGTTTTGTCACAACAGTTACAACTCACTTGCCGTCTTCGTGGGAAGGCTGACTCTTCTCACAAAGATCAATGACGAATTCGTTTTTCCAGATCGAAGTCTGGATCCAGGCATCGATGGCGCATTCCCCACAAAGCATAGCACAGTGCTTATCACACAGCAGGCGCCTAATATGTGTCCATTTAATGAACAAGGGGCCTGTGTAATCTCGTCCCCTTCGGCCCTAAAGCTCATGTAACGAGCCCTGTGTGCAAGCCCTCGGCTGGGGACAGAGTGGTCGCCCATGGTCCCAGCGGCGCCCATAACTACAATTCTGCCTTGTGGAGGGGCTCAGCCAACTTCCTGTGGCAGGAGTTCTCGGAGCGTCCATCCCAGGGATTTGGATGGGACCGGAGAGCAAGCCCCAAGCTCCACCGGAAGGTGTCTGTTTTGTAGAGAACTGTGTGGTTTTATTTGCTGGGGGTGAGGACCCCGCTGCGGGAAGGGCACGCATGGGAGTGCTGAGGACCTGGGCGGGTAGAGAAGTGGCTTCAGCGGGGAGTTTTCCTACATCTGGAAACAGTGCAAGGGGAAGGGTGAAAGAGCCCAGACCTGTCTGAGGGGTTGGGGCCCAGGTGGTGGGGTCAGTTAAGGAGAGGTTGAGGCCTGCCTGCAGGTATTCAGACACACGGGGAGCATTGCTCACAGGGCCTTTGAGGAAATCAGAAAGGCTTGGAGAGCTGCTAGCGCCCCTTCTGCAGGGTGCCAGAATGTCTCAGTTCCTCTGCCCAGACTCTCCTCTTAAGTACAGCTCTGGGGCGGGAAGGGGGACCTGGATCAAGGTTCCTGCAGGGATGGCTGTTCCACCACCAGAGCCAGCTCCTGCAAAACCTAGTTACTCCCTCCTCCATCCCTTCCCTGCTCACCCTGTCTCTGCCCCCAGCCCTGGGGAAGTAAGTGGCCACACAGCTTTGTTCAGTTCGTCTGTGGACCCGACATCCAGGTACAGGTAGATAGACAATGAAGCATACGCTGGTGGGCACCAAGCCATAGGGTTCCCAAGGCCCTCCCAGGACCCAGTTCCACAAAGAGGAGAAAGAAGTGGGACAGAGAGCCTGGAGGGGGATTAGGCAGCCCTTCTGGGGCAAGAGGACAATTTCAGATCTGGTGGGTGGCCGTGAAAGTGCTGATGAAGGAAATATCCAGGAGGCGCAGCCCTGTCACAGATGAGGGAGATAAAAAGGCAGAGTCCTTGTGTAAGGATACCTAGGATGATTTCGCTGAGGTGGTCCTTGTGCAGTCCTGAGAACTAAGTGAAGGGAGAAGTTTAAACTGCTAGGTGCCACAGTAAAGAATAAGTGGGCTAGAGGGCAGGAATTCCCTGGTGTCCAGTGGTTAGGACTCGACACTTTCACTGCCACGGCCTGAGTTCAATCCCTGGTGGGGGAACTAAGATCCCACACGCCGTGCGGCACAGCCAGAAAACCAAAACAAGACAAAAAAACGCTCCAGAAAATATTGATAACATCTTGCTCTATAGGTCTCAGGAAGAAATCCTCTATGGGGCTTCCCTGGTGGCACAGTGGTTAAGAATCTGCCTGCCAATGCAGGGGACAAGGGTTCAAGCCCTGGTCTGGGAAGATCCCACATGCCGCGGAGCAATGAAGCCCGTGCGCCACAACTACTGAGCCTGCGCTCTAGAGCCCGCGAGCCACAACTACAGAAGCCTGTGTGCCTAGAGCCCGTGCTCCGCAACAAGAAAAGCCACTGCAAATGAGAAGCCCACACACAGCAACAGAGTAGCCCCCGCTCGCCGCAACTAGAGAAAGCACGTACGCAGCAAGGAAGACCTAACACAGCCAAAACTAAATAAATAATTAAAATAAAAATCCTCTATGGTTGTGAACAAATACTTTGAGCTTTGTACATTAACACTGCAATTTTCTAAATAAACTACATATGTGTGTGGGTTTTTGTATTTTCTCCAATTTCCTTCTCTAAGGGTAATTTGGTAGCCAACTCAATTGAGAGCCTTCTGTTTGCCCATCTCTGTTACAAGCCCCACCTTGTGTTATCTTGTCTAATGCTCACAATAAACTCACAAGTCAGGCACAGCTATTGTCTCCCTTCTGCAGACAAGGAAGGTCAGGCTCAGAGAGGTCAGCGGCACTGAGTCAACACAGCTGGACAGGACACGGTACAGCTAAGGCTGTTCTCCGTCTCCCCATGCTGGGTAGCTCAGGAGTTCTGACTGTTGTTATGCAAAGCTGCCAATCTGATTTTCATGGAAATCCACTATGAAAAGCAAGTTATTATATTTATAGCAACCATATCTAGTAAAGGGTAGACAGAATGAAAAGATGAGTTCCAATGATTCCCAACCCAATGTCAGGCCGATGTTGACAAGTGGACATTGACTCAGTAAAAGCTGGAATTCCCCAACTATGCTTAGCACAAGCTGCTTTAGCAAAAGGAGCAAGTGGTGTTTCAGCTGCAGCCTCAGGAGCTTGGCTTTCATTTGCAAACTTGTTCAGAACACAAAGGTGCAGGTCACCAGGAAGCCCTCAGCTGCCCACTCACAGAGATGCTCTTTCCACAGGGAGGGGGGAGGAAGAGCTTGCTCCCCAATAGCCTGTTCTTTTTTTTATATATATAAATTTATTTATTTTTTTAATTTATTTTTGGCTGCATTGGGTCTTCATTGTTGCGTGCGGGCTTTCTCTAGTTGCGGCGAGCAGGGGCTACTCTTCGTTGCGGTGCGCATGCTTCTGACTGCGGTGGCTTCTGTTGTTGTGGAGCATGGGCTCTAGATGCGCAGACTTCAGTAGTTGTGGCACACGGGCTCAGTAGTTGTGGCTCATGGGTTTAGCTGCGGGCTCTAGAGTGCAGGCTCAATAGTTGTGGCTCATGGGTTTAGTTGCTCTGCTGCATGTGGGATCTTCCTGGACCAGGGATCGAACCCGTGTCCCCTGCACTGGCAGGCGGGTTCTTAACCACTGCACCACCAGGGAAGTCCCAACAGCCTTAGTTTGGTAACTTCCTAATTCCGGACTTTGTGCTCTTTCTGAGGAATTAGCTATATAATTCCTCCAAATTACTGTTTCCTGGCCCTGCAGCAATATTGAAAATGAATATGGTATGACATAACAGCCACAAAAGCAGATCACAAGCGTATATGTTCCCTGGGATGGCAGCCATTTAAAATATGACAGATGCATTGCAAAAAAAAAGTCAGGAAAACACCACAAAATACTAAAGGGGCAAGCAGAGGAGGTGGATGATTCTTTTTCTCTAGTTTCTAAAGATGGTGAGTTTAAATTACCTTTCTATAAAAACACTTCTAAGAAAACAAATCTAGGGAATTCCCTGGCGGTCCAGTGGTTAGGACCCTGTACTTTCACTGCCAAGGGCTCAGGTTCAGTCCCTGGTCAGGGAACTGAGATCCCACATGGCCAAAAAAGAAAAACAAAAAAAGGAAGAAAACAAATCTTCGTTTTTTCTGTAGTGATTACAATTAGTCTCTTTTCCTCATTTAGAAACCACCAGCCAGCCATCAACAGTGCCATCTGACAGAGTGGTCAGGAGTGTTTTCTTTCTTTCTTTTTTTTCCTCTTGAAATCCTCTTATATATAAAATGAGAGAAAGGACCAGGGTGCCCAAAGCCCAGGGATGGGCGGCCTTTCTCATGCTCTCGTATAAGTTAGAGACAGCAAAGGAAATGCTTAGTGTCCTTCAAGCCACCTGTGGGCTCAAATCTGCAATTTGGGTTTAAAACTGCTCTTCAAATGAAATGTAATACTTATTCAAGGTTAAAAATTCAAACTGTAGGGCTTCCCTGGTGGCGCAGTGGTTGGGAGTCCGCCTGCCGATGCAGGGGACACGGGTTCGCGCCCCGGTCCGAGAGGATCCCACATGCCGCGGAGCGGCTGGGCCCGTGAGCCATGGCTGCTGAGCCGGCGCGTCCAGAGCCTGTGCTCCGCAACGGGAGAGGCCCGCGTACTGAAAAAAAAAAAACAAAAAAAAAAACTCAAACTGTAAAGAAGGTATAAAGTGAAGAACAGAAAGTGCCCTCCTCCCCCTCGGCCCCAAGCACCTCTGTTCAAGAAATAACCTCAGTTATGACTTTCCAGATGTGTCCCTACAAATCCAAGCCTATTATAAACAGAATACGCTAATATCCTTAAAAGAAAAAAAAAAAGCCACAAATGCTATCTCATTAAACATACCATCCTTGTAGCCTGCATGTCCACTTAACAGTACACCTCGACCATCCTTCAATAATAGCGTGTATGCTTTGCATAGTCTTTGCATAGTGTTTCACTGAATAGATATTACATATTGAAGCAGTCTCTATTATTGGACATTTAGGGTGTTCCCAGGTATCTTACTACTGCAAACTCTGCCCCCTGTACGTACATACACTCTGCTCCCAGCCTTCTGAGAGTGGAATTGCTACATCAAAATGTACACCCCTTTTACATTTGTATAGATACGTACAAATTACCATCCAAAATGGTTGAACTAGTCTATATTTCCAATACCGACGTACAGATGTGCCTTACACTCCCTTATACCGCCTTAGCCCACACTAAATATCACCAAGCTTTAACATTTTGGCCAATCTGATAGATGAAAAATGGCATACCATGTTTAATTTTTTAAAATATTTATTTATTTATTTATTTGGCTGCTCTGGGTCTTAGTTGCAGCACAGTGCCATGAGCGGGATCTTCACTGTGGCATGCGGGATCTTTAGTTGTGGCAATGTGGGCTCTTAGTTGCGGCATGCGGGCTCTAGTTCCCTGACCAGGGATCGAACCCGGG